ATACAAATTAAATTATTTAAAATACGCTAAAAATGAATTTAAAAGTTTACGTAATTGTGATACTATTTAAATTAACTGTACTCAATTAATTATTATTGTAATAATAATAATTTAAACTATTTAAAGTATTAGATAATGCATTAACTAAACTTTAAAATAAAGTATTTATTAAATAATAAACTAGAGAACCAAAATTGATGATTTGACAATCAATATTTTCAGAAAAAATCTTTACCACACACGATACAATATGTCAATATTATACATTGAAGTCCAAAATATTGCAAAATATTATATTCTGTATATGCAAATTAATATTAGATTTAATATAAGATCGTCTGTCGTAAACGTACTCGCAGTCTCGCACTACCTATTTTTAAAATCACATCTGGCTATGGGTTGTCGGTATTCTCATAAATCATAATATACTTCTCTACTTCTCTTGTCTCTTGCACTAATAATTAATGTTCTCGCTCTCACGGTCGCCTGGCCGACGCTAAAAATATTAGTGTTTACTGTTTACTACACACGGTCGTACATGTGCAACGTCTATTTGCAGCTGTATCCCAGTAGACCCGCAGTTTTTATAGAGGCTCGTAAAATATAAAATAATATATTCTGCTTAGACTTTAGTCAGGTTCTACATAAATTTTATTATGTAAAAAATTATGACAGCGTACAGTGGCTAAAGACGGTGGAATGAACAGCATCATATTATAATATTATCGTGAACCCAGTTTCAATAGCGCCTACCTATAATACGATTCTTATTCTCCCCGGCCCCACCCACCGATAACATTACAAATTTTACTGACACGGTCGGGCGGTATCCTTCTATACATTTTTATTTTCTATTTATTATTAGATATTTACATGCTTGCGGTTTTTTTTTAAGGAGATTAAGGGAAGACGCAGTCTCCTCTGACTACGAGCCACCAATGTTGATTAAACTATGATCATTAGGAAGTCCCTGTTGCTCATGGATCTTCCCCGCCATATATATATATAAATATTACCTTCTCATGGCATTTCTATGTGGTTAGCCATTTCTACCATCTGTGGTCTATGCCAGAAATCTTATAATAATTATCGTAACAATAACCATCTGCTATAACCAGGGTTTGTCATATCAATTTTCAAGTATCTACAGTCACTCGTTTTTTAATTACAATAAAATAAGAAAATCGCCACATGAGAAATCGAGTGAATATCAAATGTTGTAAAAATATGAATTTCAACACTCATAAAAATTTAATTTGAGTTTCTTGTAGATATTTTTTTTTTTGATAATGATAGATAATCTTATAAGGTGTATCACATTTTAAAATCTTAGATTTAAAAAGAAAAATTTTTACGAATTCTTAACTTAAAATAATTTGATAATTTTCGTGATTTTTCCATATCTTGTCAATTTTTGAACTTTAAATTCTTATAAAAGAAAACTGTGACAAAAGATTTTTAATATTTTTCAAATGTCATTGTAACAATATATTCGGAGCCTTGCATTAAATTTTCAAGTATTTTTACTCAACAAATGAAGTTTTATTGACATTCATAGAAAAAAAACTAATTAAATTAGAAACTAAAAATGTTCCTAAACAGTTCAAAAAAAATCAAAATATTTTAACATGTATAGAAAATTCAAATATAAACAACCAGTGAAAATGTCATGTATATACGTTAATTTGTTTTAGAGTTGAACCAAAAATGAAAATCGATTTTACGTAAAAATTCCCGTTTTTCCTTAATTTTTATGTTGTTTTTCCCGGCGCTTTTGAAAACTATTATTAATTTTAAATTTTGACCTCCCAAAAGTACCAACTAGATTTACTTTCCCATCGAACAAGATACTGAAGTTGAAAATCAAAGCATTATTTCGACTACTTATCGTGTACAAAACCAAAAAAAAAAAAAAAACACACATCATGGTAAGATCAATAAATTCATCGTTCCGGTGTAACAGGCTATATTTACCCCCGGTAATATTTACCCCCCCACGGTAAATGTATCCTAGGTTATAGTTACCGGGGGTAAATATATCATAGGATATTTTTAAATCCCCTGGGGGGTAAATATATACTAGGATATTTTTACCGCCGGTAAAATAACACTGGGATATTTTTACCAAAACAAAAAGAAAAGTTACGCAAAATCTGTTTTCGAGGAAATCGATTTTGGTTTTTAGTGTAACTCCAAAACAAATTACCGTAGATATACTCATTTTGAGCTGTTTACATGGGTGTTGACCAGTGGCCCCCCACGGTTGTTATCTGGATTTTAAAAATATACCAGTTGCCCTCAACCACATGTACCAGTTGCCCCCAACCGAATGTACCTGTTGCCCTTATATGTTAATATATACTATATACACGATTACAATATATAGCCAGTAAAATAAGAGAGGTAAATATACAAATAATAAATAAAACTATTTAAAACAGTATAAAATTATATAAAAAAATGTATATGCTTGGTCGCTTGAAATATACCTACACCTAATATTGTATTTTGTGATAAATAATAATTACCAACAAAATAATATGAATACAATAGTCAATAAAATAGTAAATAAAATAATGATGTGAATGTTATAATATATATCCCACATAGCATACCAATACTGTTTTAAGGTTTAATAAAGACACGTTTCTTAATATTGTATCTTATTTAAGTGTAGATTTTAGATGCAATTGGGACCAAATTAATCTTTACGGAATGTTGTATAAAGGTGAAATGAAATGAAATCGTATACTCAAGAAGTGTTTAAGATTAAATACTGATATAGCATTAATAACATAATGCTGATTAAGCCCTTATTCAAACAATAATTCATATCAAATTGACCTTGTGTGAAACTCAATTAAGGTAAATTTAAATTTTACAAAATATATAATAAACATTGGGAATAACACATAATGCTACTATATATATGCTGTAGCTGCAGATCAAAACCATGACAATATTATATAAAATACTAAATTTACCCTTTTAACACAATTATTGTTAGTTTTTTTTTGTATTTTACTTCTTTAATAATATTATAACTCAAAATTCGATTTTTTTTTTTTGTAATGGATACATCCAGGTATACTACCATAGGTACTTTACCTACTGTGTGAATAATATATATTAAATATCATGAAAAATAATAAATAAAAATGACACTATAATATATTTGATAGTTTTAAAATGTTATGCTTTATTGTTATTGAATTTAATATGATAACAAAATATAAATAATCAATATTATAATTGTTGTGGTGATGTGATGATAGCTGCAGCACTGCAGGAAGTAGATTTTTTTTTTTATATTAAACGGAGCCTGGATTAAAGCATTTTTTATGTATTTTTCCGCATCATCGGTGGCACCATCATAATTAATTTTTTTTTATAGTTTTGATTAAACCTGTAAGAAAAAATATATAATTGTCTGAATACAAAAAATCAAAATAAACTATAAATTGGAAAATTTAAAAATTTAATATTTCAAATCAAATTGAAGTTAAGTTAATGATGAAATCCAAATAGTTTAACTGAACCACTTTTAATTTATTAATTTGTTAACCCCCAGCGTTGGTGTCAATTATATATAATATATTATATACATTTTTATCAACTGAATTCAAGACTAGCTTAGAGGGGACAATTAATTTACGAGTGTTTAATGAACTACCCACATAACACGCAAACTTCTATTTAACATTTCATAAGTATTGTAATTCCGATGTTCATAGTTAAATAAATGTTTGGCTTTAATTGAACTATGATCGTTTAAGTGTAGAATATACCTTGCATAAATCTCATTTGAACCAAAAAAATAGATTGAATGAACACTTGTTCCTAATGTTACCTGTAGGTTGTTAAGTAAATATCTATTAAACCTATTTTCTTGGTTGGAATTATGTTAATACAGCACTTAACTAACACTAATTTTATCATAAGTTAATCAATATACAAGATTCATAATATTTTGATCCCTATTATTAATAAGGTTGATTTCACCTTAAATTATGGTTTAAAAATCAAATCTTTATTTAGGCTAGCGGCCTAGTTCAATTGAAACTGTAATTATTTAATTATATAACTATATATAATAATAGTTATATATAATAATATATACACATGGAGTTTTAATTTAAAGTTACATTGCACAGTATCAAATTACTTGAAAAAGAATCATCATAATAAAGAGTACCAACTCATATATATAAGGTCACCAAATTGTGTACTTCTATAACACAGAAACATACACAGTTTTAATAATACTTAAACTTTTTGTAGGATTTAGGAGTGTAATATAGTAAGTATTTACTATTTAGTACATACAAATTAGAACTTAAAAAGTATAATAAAAAAAAGATCAATTACAAAATATCTACTGTAATATAAGTACAACATAATATAATGTACATAATCATAGAAAAAGTATACAAATTCTTATGAAACAAATAATATTAATTAGTATTATATCGTAATATCAAGACAGAATCATAATTAAAAAAATTAAATATTAAAATATTATTATAAATTTAAATTTTAAAACAAGTATGACAGTATATAATGGTAGTAATAATATTTTATATATAAATATATATATATATATATTATATATTTTATACATTATAAGTGTTTGTATACCTACCAATATACTTTTAATATTTAGTATGGAAGAGTAAAAATGTAAATGTTAATATTAATTATAATAAGACAATATAATATAATATATATTATTATCATTAAAAATAAAAAATATATAAATTCTTATGATAAAAATAATATTAATTAGTATTACATCATAAAAATTAAAGCAAGACAGAATCAAAATTTAAAAAATCTAATATTAAAATATTATAAATTTAAATTGTAAAAAAAAAAAATCAAAGTATGATAGTATACTTATTATGGAATAGTAAAAATGTAACTGTTAATATTAATTATAATAAGATAATGTTATGTAGGTATATAACAATATAATACAAAAAATTAATTTAAAAAAAAAATCAACCACTTGTTTTATTTTTAATCTTAAATGGAGTCTGGATAAGAACATACTTTATGACTTGTTCTATTTCGTTGGATGCATTGTCTGACAAAGCAAATTTTTTTATGGTTTTCACGGATTCTAAAAATTAAAATTCATTAGAAATAAAAACTTTAATTGTAATTAAAGTTCCTTACCAAATATAACATTTTTAACCAGCAACTTTTCAAAAGGGCGCTTTTTATTCCCGCGGCCATTATACGAAAATTTACACAATATTTCAGGTGTAAATAGCAATGTCATAATTCTTTTTACCATACATTTTATAGTCTTTCCACCTACAGATGATAAACGTAGAACCTGTGACAGTAATAATTTAACTTAATTAATACTAATATATTATGAAGAAATGTTATTATAGAATATATGACATACCAACTGATTCCGAAAACTTTTATCATTCGATATATCAGTTTCGAGTGTTTCAAGTTTTTCTTCGTTTTCAATCGGTAATCTACTATCTATAATAGATGTATCAAAAACACCCGATTCTCTTGTCATCTTTGTCATGGAATTTTCTTCGCCGGTTTGAATAAGTATGTCTAATTTTTCATGAATTGAACGCATTTCATATTTCATTGTTATCATATAATTTAATAATTTTGTATATTGATTATCTGTTAAAAAAATATAAGTAAATTAATTATTTGTTAAGTATTTAGTTGTGTAAGATACATCAATAAGAAATATAGCACCTATATTATTTTAAATGCCTTATAATTATCCTGATGAAAAATTTTATGATGGGGTCTTAATAATAGTTTCCCATTGATAATATTGTCATAAACACACATTTAAAATGAAATTTCAATTCGATCATAATAATGGTAATAATAATATATAGATCAAAATACTATTTTAAGTTATTTATATGCATCATATAACTATATATTGTTACCTTTTTGAACTGTCTTTATCTTGGTAGATAAAAATGGGCTATGTGCCATAGGAAAACAGCGGTCATCTATAAATTATAACAACATAATTGTTTAGTAATCCATAAGAAATTTAGTTATTATTATAAATATTCAAAATTGCTAAATTATTCTAGCTATTTTATTTGGCACAATATATAGTATTAAACAAATAATGGAACCTAATAAATTTTTCTAAAACGCAGGATAGAAGGGAATACATTATATAAATAGGCACATTTTTATAGTTTTTAATAAGAATATGCTGAAGATTACTGATACTTTAAGCTGTTTGCACTTTTTGCATAGGAAATTAACTACATTAGAACCTCGATAAGTCAAAATTCAAGAGAACAATTTATTTAGACTTATCAAGTTTTTCGACTTACTGAGGTTCCATTATATAATCAAGCTTAATAGTATTGAATAAAATAAAAATTTAGCAAACTATAAGTAGCTATTTAGATATTCAATTATTAAGTACAATAAATAAATAAAACATACCAGCAAATGAAGTTTTTGAAGACATAATTGGGCTCTTATTCATAACAATAGTTTGAGAACTATCCAAATCGGAAAATATTAATCTTCTGTTAGCTCCTTCAACAAATATATTTATAATAATAAAATATACTAACAATTAAATTATGAGACAACTAATTAAGAGTAATAATTTAAAAACTAAAAATATAAGAAATAAATACCAGATGATAAATTATGTGAGTTGTCTTTATGAATACTATTTTGAGAAGATAATGTCATTGTTCTGGTCAAAGAAGTTGTATCTGTTAGAACAATTTAAGTAGTGTTATTAATTTATATTAACTAGATAGGCTGGAATATTAAATATTTTATACTAATGAATATATTATGATAAACATTACCAGACGTATGACCAATGCTGTCGATTACTTCACATGAATTTGATTTAGAGCCAGTAGTATTTAATATAATGTCATCATTTATTAAACTATGAACAGTTGGTGTTACTATATAAAAATACAATAAATATTTTATTAAAAACATAAATAATATACAGTTTATGTATACTATATATTGTATAGTTACATATATATTTTAAAAGCTAATGAAATATTTACCAAATGAAGAGTCAGCAGAACTTTTTAAGGGGGACCATCCATTATTCGGTTTTTTATAAATTGAGAGATTTTTCTCAGTCACCATATTATCTTCATACTTACTACCCTTAGAAGATCCTTGAATAGATTTTCTAATTTCAAGTTCATCATCTGCTTAAAATCATATTGAATTAAAAAATGAACATAAATAATAATCTGAAAAATATAGTTTTCATAACTCTCATCTACAGTTATACCTCCCGATTTAGGAAACCAATAACATAAGTAATAAACATATTTGTAAACAAAATTCAACTTGACTTTCTTCGAGTTTATAAATATTAATTTTTCTCTACTTTAATACTTTTCTATATTCAACAAAACATACATATTTATTCAAAATAATTTAATACTTTCAAAATTAAATTTGTATAGTTAAAATCTGATATTATCGGTTTACCAATGATTAATTAAATTAATATTAATAAACTTTATAAATTTTATAAAGTTTTAACTTTATAAATTTTTTAAAATACCAGATAATTTAATATATCAATAGACAATAACTATTAGATATTTAGATGTAACTAAGAAACAACTTATGGGAGGCGTGCACAGAACTATTGGGTAAAAGTGTATGGCTACCTGCATAATATACTTAATTATATACTATATTTAAATTTAATATTTTTGGTATTATAATTAGGATAGATTAAATTGAATAAACTATAATAATAGTATTGTTAAGTGTCAAACAGATTAAGTATGAATTAGGACACATATTTATAGATATATCCATTTTAGTATTTTACATAATTTAAAGAGACATATTTAATATTATTGAATCAAAAAATAATTTTCTTGAAAGAACATATTAATCTAATGTACTAATGTAGACTTTACTTAATATTTGTTCTTTTAATTACGTTTAAATAAGTATCTAAATAGTGTGTGATAGAGTATGTTACTAAGTAAAATTTTGTTAGCATATTTGTATAGTGTTTATTCTGTTAGAAAACCCTTGATTAAGAATAAGTATATTTAATATGTAGGTATACCTACATTTTATTTTATGTACATATTTTTTTAACCTACCCTAACCAGGACCCCCTCCTCTCTCACACACACACACACACCAATAAGTTAAAAACCTAGTTATGTTAATGCAGTTATGCATAATGTTAATTACAAACCAAATATATAAATCATTAATTACCTGTCGAATATAATGGTAAACTATCAGATTTAAGTGATGTATCGGAAATTTCTCCATCTGAAATAAATGAAACACAATAATTTGTTGGTAGAAACTTATTATAATATATTTATATAAGCAGGTGCCTGGTAAGTAGTTAAACCTAAACTGTAGGTATAATAATAATAGCTATTCATATTTACCAGAATGTGAACTCGAAACTGATGCTTTTCGTTGTTTTCTTTTTTTCTTTAGTTTCTTCAGCGCACGATGAAAGGTCAGATTTTGATTTTGCTATATAACATTTTTTTATAGCTTTTGTATAACTGTCTAAAACATGAAAAAACATACTATAATTATCTAGTCTATGTAGATAATTTATTAACTACTAACTTCTCATATAAAATCATGCAACAATGAATAATTTAAAATATTATACCTACCAATTAAACTGGACATAGCACGAGCCTCAAAAAAATTAAATTCCTTTTTATTTGCTTTTGTCTTATTTCTCACTGCTCTTTCGACATCTATTTTTTTAGTAAATTTTGGCCATCCACAAATACCTTTTTTAATATTCAACCATTGTTGAGGAACCACTTCCACCGTGTCGTCCAATATAAAATTAACAACTAGCCACATGGTACAACGTTTAACGTTTGAATAAAATCTGGAACCATATTAAAACAATATTGTGAAATATAAAATTATTATTTTATTGTAGGTGTATACTTACGAAGCCAATGGAAATGTTGTTTAGCTGAGGGTGCAACTATTTAATTTAATTTAACTTATAAATTATAGGTACCTACAAAAAAATTTAATTTTGTTCACTGGAACAAAAACACTGGTGTAGGTAGATATTATAATAAAGTTGCAAAAAGCCAAACACTGCGATTCAGTACCTACTCAGTGAACACTAGGTGCACTAGGTAATAGGTATCACTGCAAATACCTAATATAATTATGCAAATAACCACGCACGGATCACAAACTCGAAGTATAATATTGAGTATTGACGAAGTGCATAACTATATAATAAGAGTATACGAGACACGACGACACGAGGTACGAAGGTTGAGGAACAATTAAATTAATATTAAGTCTACAACACAACTAGGTACAAACGCGTCAACAATAATTTTGCCGTTGCGATTTTTCATTAGTTCATACTTCATACTATATAATTACTAGATAATAAATTGTCGATAACGAATTTGGAATTCCCAACGCGTTTGCTGGACGTTCAGCCGCGTATAACAATAACGGTTATAGCCGGTATCGTATTTATATTTTATTTGAATAGCAGCTGTTATAATATTATTATTATTATTACCATATACCTTATATCTTTCTGAATACGGGTAAACATATTGGGTCTAACATCATATTGGTATACAGCATAATATAGACTTATAAACTAATGAACAGCGCATTTCACTCCGCCGGCCGCCCTGCCTTCAATGCTAAGTGATCATATAACCGTACAACTGAGGTCTGAGAGAGAAAAAACATAAAGTAGTGAAGGAGCACCGCATAAAGGCCGCATAAGGAACTGTATACATTTTACTACTTTGCTTCTTTTCTCGCTCACTTTATATTGTACCCCTGACTTCTCTCTCTAAGCGCTGTCCATTAGTTTATGAGTCTATGGTATACAGGCTCTTACAAAAATAATAACTTATAATAATTATTGTTAGGCTCATTGATAACTGGCAACTGCCATAGTGCAACTAGTGCAAGCGCAATGCCACAATATTGAATATTATGTTATATTATTATGATGATGTACACCGTCCAGTACACGTAGTAGTGGTAGTATGTACACCTAATCCAGTGGTGTAGCCAAGGGGGGGGGGGGGGTAGAGGAGCCATGCCCCCCTCATCGGCCGTGTTTTTTTTTTATTATTATTTTTATATCAGTACGTCTATAGAGTATAAAAAAAGTCACAGATATAAAATAGATAGTATTTTATATCTGTGAAAAAAGTAGAAATGTTATTCATTATCATGATTGATCGTCTCCTTAAATCGTGTTCATTATCTATAGCTGTGCCGCTGTGGTACCAAATTCGGTTACAAACGAGAGTGTATCACCCATAGAGTGTATACACGTTTCAATGTTGCCAATTGTTTTGTCTAGGCGATCAGCAGTGAATTTTATATATTTATATTTATTAAGTAATTGTTTGCAATAAAATATTATAAATAAAAAGTTGTTCAATATTTTATTAATTTCAGCCGGATGTATTTAGTATTATATGTGGTCACATAATAAGTATACGAATTACCTCAATTATTTTTTATAATGAAAACAGTACAAAATACAAATTGAATTTTTATAAGAAATTTTTGGTGCCCCCCCCCCTTTTTAGAAATCTTGGCTACGCCACTGACCTAATCTGTAGTCTGTACGACTGTATACAAACCGTCTTATCATAGAACGACACTTGTACATTAATTGTAATAATAATTTATAATATTATTATAATTTTTGGTTTTTGGTTTTTTAACTATTTCTGAGTGGTTGTTTAAACTAAATATGAGTCATAAATTGAGTAAGTCGACAAAAAGGAGGCGGGTTCTCCAAGAAATTGATGAGATTTTACCTAGTTTTGACACAGTCAATGATGAATTAGAAGTAGAACAATTAATGCAAATGCAATTTAATACTCCGGACCCCGTTGATAAAGAGAGTGAAATACATTCTGTTTATAAAAATGTTGAGATGACAATTGTTGAAGAACGAAATCAACTATTAGAAGGTATTACACAATAATATAAGTATTATTACTAACAACTATAGGGCTAGGATTTTAAAGCATATTATGCTTCTTTTATTGTATACGAGATAAAAATCTAATTTATATACATAAATTATTTGCATGTCATTTTGATTCAATTAATTTTTGATTTTTTTATGTACCTAAGTGTTTTTTTTTTTTGCTCTTTATTACATTTTTTGCAATTATTCTAGCGGTGCATTTTTATATTATGTTTATTATGGTATAGCTAATAGCTATATTAATGAAAAAGATTTAATTTAATTTGTAAGAAATGTAAAAACCCGGAATGGCTGGGATTTGGACTAAATGGTTATTGGATTATTATTGTTTTCGTTGCAAATATAGCAAATAACCATGGAAGTTAATTCTTTTTTAAATTTAAATTCATTTTTCAAATTTTTTTATTCAATTTTATACAAGTTGATTTTTAGTCATAGTTTTTTTAAAAAATAAAAATGCTTTTTTGTTATTAATTGTGCTTTAAAATCCGAGCCCTACTAATAACTTATAAGTTATAAGGCGTAATTATAATACCTATATAATATATTATATGATAAATATAATATGGCTATTATATTATGCTATGCCGTGGCGCCGTTGAAATATGACGTCACACTTCTCGTGACGCCGCGCGTCGCGTAAAGATTTCAAAATATGTAAATTAAGTAATGGTCGTGGCGACAACTTTTAATAATAACTATATAATAGGAGATTTTTGTATTATACTATTATATATTATTATTTATTACCTATTATAATATTGATAACAGGAATTCCGAGTTGTTCGACTACATTGACTAAGGAGAAAGAATCTATTAATATAATTGATATTGTTAAAGAAGATGATGGCCTTGTTGAGTCTGCAGATAGTTCAGATGAAGAATTGTGTACCGAATTAATTGATATTTCACCTACAACTCAACTTGCCCAGTGGGCTATAAAACATAACATATCAAACGTTGCAACTTCTGATTTATTAAAAATATTAAAAAGTTGCTATGACTCATCATTACCAATCGACAGTAGGACTTTACTTAAAACTGATGTTTCAACTATTAATATTCCCTTAAGAGATGTAGAACCAGGTAAATATTACCATTTTGGGATTGCAAATGGCGTAAAAAACCATTATATCGAAAAAAATGAAAATATAATTGAATTAGTCATAGGTATAGATGGGTTACCTTTAACTAAGAGCTCAAAAAGCACATTTTGGCCCATTCTATGCTACATACGGCCTTTTTCTAAAATTGTATTTCCAATTGGAATTTATTGGGGGTACGATAAACCAACCGATTCTAACGATTTTATACGGGAGTTTTATGATGAGATTGTCGATATAATAGCAAATGGTATCCAAATTAAAAATAAATCAGGCGTTATCCAAAATAAACAAGTTGTCATTGATACATTTTGCTGTGACGTGCCGGCCAAAAGTTTTCTTTTGAAGACGAAAGGACATAGTGGTTTTTTTTCGTGTTCCCGTTGTTGTACAGAAGGTGAATATTTAAATAGACGTGTTTGTTTTCCTGATTTAAATTGCCCTAGAAGGACCCACGAACATTTTGTACAAAAACAACAAGAAGAACACCATATTGGCACCAATTTATCTATTCTAACTAGTATTCCAGGCATTGATATTATTAACATATTTTCTTTAGATTATATGCACTTAATATGTTTAGGAGTAACAAAAAAACTTATTAATTTGTGGTTGAAAGGTCCCTTAAAAACTCGTTTAAATAGTGCTAAGAGTAAATTGTTGAGCAATAATTTAATTAATCTTAAAAATGTTATACCTATTGACTTTCATCGGAAACCTCGTGGTGTCGATGAACTCCCGAGGTGGAAAGCTACAGAATTTCGAACTTTTTTACTATATTTAGGACCCGTAGTACTTAAAAATATAATAAATGAAAAATGTTATTTAAATTTTATGTGCTTACATGTTAGTATTTTCATATTACTTAAATCAAATATTAGTAATAATTTATTAAAGTTCAGTAAGAAGCTATTACACTATTTTATTAGTAATTTTATTTCTATTTATGGTCGCGAATGGGTATCATACAATGTACATGCACTGCAGCACTTAAGCGATGACTATTCTCGCTTCGGTGCATTAGACAACTGCAGTGCGTTTCCATTCGAAAATCACATGAAGATACTTAAAAAGTATGTACGAAAAAGTAACCAACCCTTGCAACAAGCGGTTAAACGTTATAATGAATCCATATGTTATAGCTTAAAATCAAACGAAACTGAACCTAATTTAACAAATTTCACTTTTAAAAATAAACATTCCGAAGGGCCATTACCAACAGAGTTAAACAATTATTTAAATAATCAATATAAAACCCTAATTTTTCATGACACTGAAATTCGGATTCACCGTGAAGCAGATAATTATTTACTTATGACCGACGGTAATATTGTAAAAGTTGTAAACATTGTAAGTCAAATATCCAACAACGGTTTTATTTTAGGATATAGTTTTGATTCAAAAGAACCTTTTTTTAAAAAACCTATAGACAGTTCTAAATTGGACATTTTTACTGTTAATAATTTAAACAATAATTTAAAAAGTTGGTCTGTAGATAATATTAAATGTAAGTGTATGATCCTAAAAGTGAATTATAATAATAAAACCGTAGCTTTTCCACTTCTTCACTCATATAGAATTTAAACACATAATACATAATTTTTTATGAATTGACGATTGAGATTCATCTACAATATTTGACATTTTACATATTAATGTAATATTAGTATATTGTTTGATAGGTACTTATTATAATATAATATGAAAGCATGTACCTATTTATAATTAATTTATACTTTTTGAAGTTTTTATATTTATATAATTTTATATTAGATACGAGTACCTACAAAATTAATAATTAAATTAGATGTTTAGTTTTGTTATTTTGTTTATTTTTTGTATCTGTAAATTATTAATTAATATTATGTACCTACCTATGTATATATTGTCATTAATTTTTTCACATGTACCTAAATATAATGTGATAAGTTATAAAATATTTGTTTATATTATAATATATAATAATTTAAGTAATTTTATTTTCATATTGTATACAAGTATATTGTATGTATAAAACACTAATTATTTTAATACCTAACTGTACAGTGTACACAAATTAGGAACTATAATATAATAATATATATTATTATACATATATAGGTACTATTGTATATTATATTTCTTATTCGTTTAACGCGGTTGTTAAGTAACATTATTATTTGTATTCGTATTGTTGGTTAACTTTTATTCGTTATAAGTAGAGCGCGGATTTTTATGCACTAAAAAGTATCAAAATATGCCATATAATATGCAGTAAAAATCATGAAAATATGCAAAAAATATGCAGTAAAAATCATGAAAATATGCAAAAATATGCAGTAAAAATCATGAAATTCATTTTTTTTATTTATTTACAATTTACAAATTAAACTTCTTATAACAATTAATTACTAAAATATTAAATACTTATATAAATTTCTCTTTAAATTTTTTAAATTTTATTTACTATTAAAATGAATGATCATATGCATTTCAAGTTTTTCTTCAGTGAAGCTATGACGTTTATCAGTTAACATATTTTTAAATACTGAAAACGAACGTTCGACGTCAACTGAAGTTGTTGGGGCATATTTGAAGCAACTTATTATTTTCGGGTCTTGATAAACATCTTCGAGCTGAACGTTTTCGCCTGATAGTACTGCATTTATTTTTCGTAGAATTTCTAGACCTTTATTTTTATTGGAAAGCTCATTTAATTTTGTAGTAAGTGTTGCACCTTTTGGCCCAGGAATAGAATTAATTTTTTCTTTGGTTTCGTCAATTATTGAAAAGCTTTCATGTAAAGTCATATTTTGAGTTTCCAGTTTTTTTATGACTATCACTAAAAATGCCAAATGTGTTGATATAAATGTTAAATCATTGACAACAGTACCATCTTCAATTATATTCAAAACTTTTCTAATACTTTGCGCATCATCCATTGCCAGTCTCTCGATAACTTTTTTATATTTGGTAAGATAATCTGCGTAATATAATGCAGCATTTACCCATGTTCCCCACCTTGTAAGAACTGGAACAGGTGGTAAAGGGATATCATTCATTTCTTCTTTAAAAATAGAGATTCGACTCGGCGCTTTTAAAAATATTTTCTTCCCATTATTAATTAAAGTATTAACTTTTGGAAATAACTCCCTTACTTTTTCTGCAAGACGATTACAAGCATGAGCGGTACACGTTACATGGATCATATTAGTATAAAATATCTTTAAAGACTTCCCTGCTTTCACCATATATGACGCTGCGTCTGTTAATAAAAGTAATACACGTTGTTCCATTCCCACATCTGTCCATAATAAAATATGCAATAAATATGCAATACATTTTGAATTTTGCCTAAATATGCAAAATTATGCAATAACATTGAAATATGCAAAAATATGCAAAAAAAAATTTCACCATTTGCTTCAAATTATGATGATTCGTAGAGAATACTGACAAAAATCCAAAAATATTAAAAGAAAACAAATATGCAATTGCATAGAAATCCGCGCTCTAGTTATAAGGTATATATTTTGTGACTTTTTGAACTGTAGAAATAAAATGAGTACCTACTTATTTTTTGTTTGAATAAAAACCACTTTCATCTATTTAAAAATAACTTTAAATTCAATTACGGAAAAGTATATGATAGCGAATAAAATTAATTAATGTAAGTAATAGTTCATGTTTTGGACGTGCGCACATTAATTATTGTACACTTAACATATCACTATTGACACTATTTAATATTTATAGGTACAACTATATATAGGTATTATAATATATAGTTAGGTACCTAAATATATTAGGTTATATTTGGCCATAATGTGTATAACTTAAAATCAAATATAGCTGAACCTAATTTATCGTATTTTACCTTTAAAAACAAATATGCAACAGGGCAATAAATAATTATTCCCCGAAATGATGTTATTATGATTATGCTTTAATTTTTGATATAAAACTAATTTTTAAAAACACGAGATTTAAATCTATCGTGAATCTGACAATTTATTGTTCACAAATGAGCAACGGTAATCTAATTAAAGTTATAATAATACCAAAAACATACTCCCCCTAAATTCCGTGTAAAAAAAAGCTAAGTATAAAAAAACACGGCTCTAAAAATTATAATATAATTTTATAGCTACCCAAGTCTTTGAACAAATTAGATATAATTTATATTAAAATAGTCAACTATAAAATAATTTAACTTAGCTTACGTCATAATCGTTGTACCTATACTGCGAAAGTGCATATTGTTATTAATTGTCTTAGAGACCGGTGCAGTCGTTCATAAAACGGTTATTTTTAAGCATCTCGTTATCGGCTACGACCCGCGGTATTATATTATAATCTTATATTATCGCTGTAGACCGGGAAGTCCGTTCAATGACGATAGTTGTAAATTGATTGTGTCACTATTATTACTTTGATAGCGACGCGCAACTATTTGTGTTGTGGCAATAAAGTTTATTTTCAAATTATATTATAATAATAATATAGGTTAGGGATCTGAGCGATATAATTATTGATGATGCGTATATCATGTATATAATCATGAACGGATTAAAATATATAGGTACTGGATACCCAACGATAATAATTTATTATATTATATTTTATTTGTTTATAGTAAAATTCGACGAGCCTACGCAATTATAATATATATAGAGGCTATATATATACGCGCGACGCGCCTATGCCGCTATACCGCAATAATAATGTGGATGAAATTTTATTAAGCATCAAATAAATACTTAAATGGATGCATTAACAATGAAATTCTAATCTAATGTGTGGGCGGTGTTATCTTATTCACCTATTATTAATGCTTATAGATTAAGTCTTAATAAGCATTATTTATGATACACTATTTAAATGTTGGTCATTGTAAGTTTATTCAGCATTTAATATAAATTAACGTTTTAATGTATAAAATCTAACCTAAATCAAGTGTTTATATAGCACTAAGAACTTACTTTAATGTAAACGTTTAAAAATAAACACTTAATCTGGTATTATTGAATCTTATTTTTTGAACCTTTCAAATTCAACTCAACTTCTACGTCTATAGAAGTTTTAACATTATATACCTATAAAACTTTATGAACATTTTATTATTTCGACAACAGTCACTATCTGTTTATATTTTAGCCTAATGACAACTGTTAAAAAATTGTGAAATAATAACCCATTTATATAGTTCACTAAATATTCTATAGTTAGAAAATGTTTTCATATACATTAATATCAATTTTGAATTTGTTACTTATTTAATAATAATACTCCTGGATATTGCAACAAAGAGATAAAAGGCAAAAGAATTATTTAATTATATAATAAAACTATTACAACAGATATAGGTATTATTATATAATATTTTATATATTACATTAAATAAACTCTTTAAGTCTTGTAGATCTGCACTATTCAGTAAATTAAAAGATATATTATGTAACACATGTATAGTAGATGTTTATATTATATATAGTTAAGAAAATATAACATGTATAAAAAATAGTGATTAACATAATTATATTATAACTACCATAAAAGTTAGTTAAAAAACCATACTTACTAAAAATTAGCTTTGAAATAATAAGATTGCAAAAACATTTTTTTTTGTTTGCACGGCCATAAAATTAATAATATTTTAACAGTTCATCAGTGAATAATAGATGCATAACTCGTTTAACATAAATTTGTATAGTTTTTCCACCTAATCCGACTAGTTTATTTGTCTGGAACAAAATAAAAAATAAATATAAATATTTAAAATTGTGTAAAAAAAAACAATTTAATACTGTTAATTATTTTATAAAAACCACAATACAAACAAATTACCATTAATTTATGATATGTTTTATCTGCTGCTAGTTGTTCTTCAATATCATTCAAAGTATTCACGTCGTTAATAGGAAAAATACAGTTGAGATTTGTGTAATTATCAGCTACATCATCTTCATGAATTTGGTTTGAGCTTTGTGACAATTTGGAACTTCTTTCAATCATCAAATCAAAATTTTCATTTAAATTCCTTATACTGTGTTTCATAGTTATTAAATTATGGGATACCATATCCTTAAACTGATCATCTGTAATCATAATATTAACTTTGAATTAGATTTAATAATATAATGAGTTGCATTTATTTTATAAATGGTAATTAAATTAAAATATATCCGTACAATTAATAAATACTAAATTAACTAGTACTTAAATTCAGAGTACACTATAAACTTTCAATTATTTTAAAACCAAACTATTATCAGTATTTAGCAAAAAATAATAATCATTAAATTAGTAAATACCTGTTAAAACCTTTGATTTTTTGGTGTCAGAGGAACGCATGGATGAATTTTTCATACCTAAAAAAAATAAAACAATTAATGACACATAGCATACCTGAAATATTGTCGTTCGTGGGAACAAATCTCCTTTGTGAAAAAAGTTTAGTTTTCAGAAAACACAAAAAACGTTTTAAATAAAAAAATCACATAGGAGGTTTTTCATAAACGATTTATAGTTGCTAACACATAGGATAATTTTTCTACGGTGGAGATAGCACATAGGAGAATTTATTTATTATTTTTCATTAATTGTACGAGGTGCACATAGGAGATTTTATCAATAAATAGCTAATTTTTTTTCTTAATCCAGCTAGGGATATCAAAACCTCAAAATCATAAATTTGGCACATAGGAGGTTCGTTCTCGTGAACGACGATATGTAAGAATACGCATAATAATTATTATTAATTATTAATTTGTTACAATTTATTTATTAATCTTACAAATAGTTCATAAATCACAATAGTTGAATTTAGAAATGACAGTTGCGACTTGTGGTACAGGCACATAGCCCCTCTCAACATTTTGAATTAAAAGAACTTAAATTAAATTGAAACATCAGACATTTATAAAAATTATTATACGATATAACTGAAATTATCGGGAGGGGAGGGGGATGCTATCAGATACTAAGTTTCTTGTGGTTAATTGTAAAATAAAATTATTAATATTTGTTCATGTGCGGCGGGCACAATTTATTGGACTATGCTTAAGTTCTATTTTTATTTGAAGATATCATCACCTGTCCTTGGTCTTATTATTTTTACACGCAATTATAATCAAATACGAAAACCATAAATCATACTATACACACATTATTATACTATTCAGTATTCAAATACTATTTTATTTTTATTTATTAAGTTATTTAAGACTCTATTTTGTTTTTATTTATTGTTTAAAAGATACAAGCATATTTTATTTAATATTAACATCAGTTAATTAAATATATAATGGTTATTTTAAAATCATTAGGAATTAGGGAAGGATAAAATATGTGTACCCCATATCCTGTGAACCCCTTGAGCTAGGCTTTATACTTTGTAGTGAAACAAAAATCAAAGCATATAAAAACTTACTAGAAGTTGAATGTGTGCTGCTGCTTTCTTTTGGCTTAAATAATTGCTTTTTTACAAAATTTCCTTTAAAAATATACAATAAACAATTTTAAATTATTAATTCAAGTAGTTATAAGTTAAGCTTACTTACCAGGCATATTTGACAAGTTGTACTTAGAATTTTTGGGAGAATAATCTGTTAACAAAAAAAATCTAATTAAAATTAAAATGAAGTTAAAGCTCCCAAAATTATTAAAGTCAAAAATCTTGTAGGTTCAAAATAAAATAAACAGCATTTTAAGATTATTTAAATATCCAAAACTTATTAAAAATGCATTTATAAAATGTAATATTGTAATACAATCTTATTATAAGAAATATATGGTTAAATATTATATATATTATAATATATAAACAATTCTGAGTAGATACCTAACAATTTTCTTGGTGTATTAAGAGGACACTACCCATACATTGTCTCCATCTCACTCACATACCACATAACACTCTAGTTTCAATAGTGTGCTGTTAGTTTTGATATTAGAGTGAATGGACCTAGCTATTATCAAAGTTTCAGGTAAAAACATTATTTATGCTAAGCGGTTTTTAATTCTCAAGCAAGAAATAGGAATGTGAAATGGGGAATATCTCACTTGAAAATTAAAATACCGAATAAAAGCTGAAGCTTAAGCACAGAATGTTTTTCCCTAAAAGTTTGATAATACGTAAATTCGCTCAAATATAAAAACTAACAGCACACTATTGAATGACAATTTGCCATGAAGTACATGTATAAGATGGAGACAACAAATGCTTGGGTAGCATCCTCTTAATGAGTATAATGATTTTTCAGATAGCTGGCAAGTGGCCTTTCATAAATCATACTTGTTCACTTACAGTTATGTGAAGAACACTGAACATGTATCATTATATCATAATATAATAATGTAATAGGTAACTATATAGTTTGAAAATAAGCACATAATATAGAAATTAAGCAAATTATATTAATCTTAAGTGTAATAATTACGTTTTTGAGATGACATAAACAGGTTTGGAGAATAATCATTGAAGCTTATTTTAGTTGGAGTCTTCTTAATTGGAGAAACGCCATCTATAGTTGATGACAACACAATAAAAATATAACGTTAAATAAAAATTATTAAAAATTTAAAAAATATTATACTTACATTTTTGCGACAATGTTATTTTAGGTGACATAATGTTTTCATAGTTTTGCAGCATAGGAGATGACATTGTATCTGAAGCTGCATTATATTTCCAAGAAACTATTTCAAAAAAATTACATTTTATACAAAAAAAACGTTATCATATCTGATAAATTACAAATATAACTTACATTTTTGAGATGATGATGCTTTTTTAGGAGATTTTTCAACCTGCTTAGGAGACAGTACTGTATCTGGTACATGTGGAGAGAAAACTGTTCAAAATAATTACATTTTATACAAAAAAAAACGTTATCATATCTGATAAATTACAAATATAACTTACATTTTTGAGATGATGATGCTTTTTAGGAGATTTTTTCAACCTGCTTAGGAGATAATACTGTATCTGGTACATGTGGAGAGAAAACTGTTCAAAATAATTACATTTTATACAAAAAAAAACGTTATCATATCTGATAAATTACAAATATAACTTACATTTTTGAGATGATGATGCTTTTTTAGGAGATTTTTCAACCTGCTTAGGAGACAATACTGTATCTGGAACATGTGGAGAGAAACTGTTCAAAATAATTACATTTTATACAAAAAAAAAACGTTATCATATTTGATAAATTACAAATATAACTTACATTTTTGAGATGATGATGCTTTTTAGGAGATTTTTCAACTGGAAGGTTTTTAGAAGTTGTTTTAACAACTAAAAAAATATTTTTTAAATTTTATAATCTATCCAGTTTAAACCATAAAATTAAATATCAACTACTCGACACATTAATTCATAAATCATAACTAAATATTATTTTGCTAATATTATTCAAAATTCTTAAAACAAAAAATGCATAAGTTTAACATTATTAAAGAATAATAATATTACAAGTTTAAAGAGTGTAACGATTCTACCTATAATATTATACATATATATATATATATATATATATATATATATATATATTATATATTATACCTATAGGTACTATCTCGGGTACTATAATATCAAAATGTAATCGAATGAATATAGTTATGATCAAAATCAATAAGCAAATAAGAAAAAATTTTAAAAACTATAATGTATAAAAAGAAATATTTTTTAAATATATTAAATAATAGTATACTTTAAAAACTCACATTTCTTAGACCTTTTATTTGGTGACCTGCTGATGATTGTTCTTTCATCATTACTATCTATTAAAACATCAATAAGTTAATTTAAGTTACAATAAATACAGGTATTAATCAAATTAATTATTATGTATTCTTTAATACTTACCAGACTCGTAATTCGGCATCTCATAATGCATATTATCTGAATGATCAGTGTCATCACCTGAACGAGTAAGTTTTAATTATAACTATATAGCCAATGTAAACATAGTAATCAGTAGACTACATATTTATTTTTATAGATATCTAGTTAATAAATATTGTACAAGTTATACCTGGTTTACCATGATTTGTATTTTTAATACTATTCAATTTTCGTTTTGACACTCGTACATCATTTTCAGAAGAAGATAAATCGGAAGTAAAAACAGCTTTCTTGCATTTTTGGAATGCTTCAGAATAAGATTCTTGAAACAAAATATATAGTTGAAATAATAATTGTTATAATAGTTTATACAATCAGATAATCAGTGTTGAAAAGAGTATTTTGTATTTTCATAAATTTAAATAATTGATTATAATAATATAGTTATACTAATAATTATTACTGAATTACCAATACAATATATTATTTCAAATTTAAACACTTTATACAACATTCAGTAGCGCAACAAGCGGGGTGGTACTTACCTAGGGCACCATACATTTTAGTTATTACTAGGGCACCATAAGGTGTAGTTGCGCCACTGACAACGTTACAACAATATTTTATAATAAGATTATGTAGTACTAATGCGAAAACTTATCGATGTTCGATAACATAGCACGTGCTTTAAACCAACTAAAAGCTTGTGTATTGGGGTCACTTTGGCTTTCAATGCATTTTCTTGTGTTATTATTTGGCCACGCACATTTATACTTGGTAACCCACTTACTAGGCACCACTTCCACGGAATTGTCCTCCATGAAATGGACTATCGACCACATTATAAAATTACGTAGGTATAAAATTATAAAATGACGGTAACACAATAATCGGTTGCAGACTTTCAAACGAGTACGGTCTAAGACGTGAACTTTCTTGTCTATGGAAATCTATGGACGTGTGTAACAAAAACTGTCCAACTAAAAACTGAGAAAACATGAAAACTGTAACGACTAGGTATAACGACTGTTGAAATGCGAGTAGCGGCACTGCGGCAGTAGTCCGACGATTGTTCAAATGAACGAAAATACGAAATATTGTATTGACTATGATAAATAATAATGGCAAATAATTCTCGAATGTTCGCGGCGGCGGCGGCGGCGGCGGCGGTTGTCGACGACTTCGATACGTATAACCGATATACCCGATTTACATTCAGCCACTGCCGCTGCTTATCGCACTGCCGTATTTAATTCCCAAAATACTTCTGTTGCAACGTCGTGGCAGTGAGTGTGTTTACATTGTGCAGCTCTAGCAGCAACTCAACCGGCAGCGCTCGCCGGTTAACCTGCTGCTCGCACTGCTCAATTTACCGCTCTTGACGGGAGCGACGGGCAGCGACAATGCGAGGAGCATGATCAGCGCAAGTGACCTGTTTACATACCCGTGCTGCCCACTTCCATACCCACTTCCCTGTTCACTTCCACGAAAATGGGCTGAATGTAAACGAGGCATATATAACGATTGCATATTGTTCTATTTTTATATATTGTAAGGTTATAATTTGTATTATCACTATGATATCAGAAATGATAAGAATAAGGAATATAATGTCATGTACTATATATCAGTTAGTCGCCTATCACAGTTCGTGCAGTAAGGACCTCACGTATGTTGTATTTTAATAAATGAAAATTAAATGTTATATCGCGTTGTTGTTCTAATTTATATTAATTCTATAGTGTAATTCGTATAGTGTCATACGATTACATTACATGGCGCTGTGGTAAATTCGTAGTTTCGAAAAATTTGCTGTCGTTGCGTTTTGACAAAAGTAGTTTTTCGATCATCAACATTTCACGTGTCACGAGGTTTGTAAAAACGTAACTTCTAAGTTTGAGGTTATTATCGATGTTGGAAGCGCAAGCACGGTTGCTTATCAGTTGTTGAGTGTGATAACTAATAACGCGTATTCCAGTCGACTAATTTGTGATATCGTTGTTCGTTGTTGTTGTTACTATATAGTATCAGTATATACTTATAGTGTTGATCGTTCGCGGTTTTTTAGTGTCGTACGTAAATTCGATATAGATTATAGAAGTTAATATTCATTATGAGTAATATCGACTCAGTTGATGTTAATGTGCTGAAAACTCTTAAAGTTGATGAATTACGAAAAGAGTTGAAGTTCCGTCACCTTCCCGACAAAGGTACTAAAGATGAGTTGGTAGATTTTTTATTGATTGACAATGAACGAGTTATAGCAGATAATCTGCAAGAAGCCTTAATTGCTTCAAGAGATAAACAACATGAAGATTTGAAGAAAATAACAGAATTGCAACGAGAGGTTGATATGTTAAAAAATTCAAGAACAGATTTTGGTGAGAAATCGCAGATTCCAATGGAATTATTATCTCAATTGGTATCTACACCAAAACTTATTTCCGAAAAAATGTGTGTCAGTAATAATAGTTAAGTACAAATAATATCTACTAACGATACAGCTAGTACAATATCACTGTACTATGGAAAAAAGCACGAAAATGCCGAAGACTGGATTAGCGAAGTCGAACGTATTTCTGGTCACGCTCATTGGACTGAATCCCTAACTCTGGTCAATGCTGTTTCAAGACTTCGAGGTTCAGCTCTAAATTGGAATAAAGTTTCTGGTCGACAAATTAATTCGTGGACTGACTGGAAAGAGAAATTAATTGACCGATTTAAAAGTAAAATGTCTTTTTCTGATTTTATTAAATTTCAGGGAAAACGCATTCTTCGAAAAGACGAATTGATCGTTGAGTACATATTTGACAAAGATGCCATAATTGAAAAAGCACCATTCAAAATGCAGCAATCGGATCGTGTTTCTCTCATATTAGAAGGTATCACTGACAATATCTGGGCAGTTCCACTTGCAACGGCAATGTGCAGCTCTGTACAAGAACTTATTAGTCATGCGACGCCATTAGATACCATCCCAAAATTAAGTGGTACAGCAGCCAACACATATGCTACAAATAAAGGAGAAGAATCCCATAAAGAGACAAAACAAATTCATCGTTTCAACCCGACAATAGACAAAAAAGAAGATCAAATTTGTTTTAAGTGCAAGTCAAAGGGACATATCAGTATATATTATAATAATCAGTTATGATTGTAAATCAGATAAAACTGGAGATAAATCTATTATTAAAGAAAAAAGCAATTGGGTTTACAAAAATAAATCAACAACTGACAATCATTATTCAAAAGTTGAAAATCATGGTAACAAAGATCCAAATACAAAAAACAAAAGTATAAATTGTATTCAAAATGTTGATTATGCAATCACACCAAAGGTATCTCAAATTCCAGTAACTATAAATGGCTCTATAACTATAGATGCGTTACCAGACAACGGTTCCTGTGTAACTCTTTTGAGAAAATGTTTTATTCCCAATAATGTTGTTATACATCCTTGGCAAGATGGATCCTATGCAACTCCAGATGGCGATTGCACGCCATGTGGATGGATTTCATTAAGAATTCAAGTTGGAAAAATTGATTACACAATGCCAAAAGTAGGATTATGTGAATCGTTGCCAATCGCAATGATTCTTGGTCGAGATTGGCAATCAGCAGTACACGCTACCATAATCATCGAACCAAATGGAGCGATTTGTATTACCACTCCTACTTCTACTCAAGAGTTTGGTTGTGTCAAAGCGAACAGTTCGTTTGTTGGTTGTATTGTTGAGTCACGTTTCTCTTCTAAGCCTCTTGTGTCAAAATCCGAAGAA